GCACATGTCTGTATTACCAGCACTCAGGAGGCTGTTTCTCCAGTCTATTCCTCCTCCCCAACATCCTCTTTTTTGGAATTCTAAATTCTAAAGAAAGCCCTCTGAGATAAATTTTCTTCTCCTCAGTTTAAAAGATAACATGTGGCTAGAAAAGCTCTGTGTCTATCTCTGAGGGACTCCTGGGTGGCTTGGGGCTTTACCCTTAGCCAAGATAAACTAAACAAATCCCACTCTTGGCAGTGGGATTTATGTGTGATTTAAACTGAAACCTGACTGATGATCCCTAGGGTTTCTTTACTCATGTTTTTTTTTTTTCTTTTTTGTATAATGACAGGTTTTCAATGAGCCTAAACAGTTAGTAGCTGGGCTTGATTGTATGACCAGAGCGATATTGAAAACTCCTCTAGGAACTTCTGCTTTGAGCTCTCCCGTAACCAATATGGTTGTATCCAGACAACAAAGTGCAAATAAAGGTCAGGTGACAACAAGGACCTTGGAGTACTTGCACTTCTAGGAGTCTTATCTTCCCTATTGTATCTCCCTCCTCACCCCACCCCAACACCGCCACCCTGCTTTTATTTTCTTCCTTTTGTTACTGGGAGGCACAACATCCTGACCAGAGTAGGAAGAGGCTAGGCTCCAGTAACATTTGAAGTCAAAGTGGTAGAAAATAGGTTTACTCAAAGATAGCTGTGAAGGAAAATCGAAGAAACTTACTGGTTCAAAGTTTCCATATTTGAAAAGCTCTGGGACTAGGAAAACCTTTTTAAGTGGGGAAAGGGAGCCAGACAAAGGCATAGACAGAGGTTTATTTAGGAAGGTAGATACACATTCAAGAGAGAATGGGTGATGTCTCAAGAGTGAGAAGCAGCCCTCACTTGGGGTGAGAGTCCAATATTTATAGAAGGGCTGTACTGGGGCTGGACAGGAGGCAGATTCAGGGTGGAGCTGCACAATTTCCTGCAGTTTTCCTGCACTTGCGTGTTTCCCTTATTTTACAAGAGCACTGGCCACTGGGCCAAGGTTGTGGGCCAGGACATGGGCCAAGGTTTACAACTGTGTTTTCTCCATCTCAGTGGATTGATTTTGCCTTTCAATGGCTTTGGGGTGTTTCCCCACAAGATTCCATATTTCTCTCTCCTTATTCTATATCACTATCTCAATAATACACTTAAATTATACTAAGATAAGCAATATTTAAGAATCCTCAACATTTCAAGAGGGTCAAAAAAGGGAACCCTAATATACTTTAGAAAGACATGCACATAAAAGACAATGTGATAATATTCTTTGAGCCAGCCATTGTACTTCTAGGAATCTAACCTGCAGAAACATATAAGCAATCAAATATATCATCTAAGATTGTTATTTATTAAAGCATTGAAAATTTTGAAAACATTTAAAATATTGGTTAAATAAAATATGGTATGGTATTTGTACTATGGAATATTATATGATCCTTAAAAAGAAAATACTCCCTTGGGGCTGGGGTTGTGGCTCAGTGGTAGAGCACTCAACTAGCATGTGTGAGGCACTGGGTTCAATTCTCAGCACTGCATATGGAATAAAATGAAGGTCCATCAACAACTAAAACAAAAATTGAAAAAAGAAAATATTTCCTAAGAAAGAATTCCACAATATCTTATTAAACAAAATAAGCCAACTGCATAATTGTATGAAAAGTATACTCCCATGTACGGTCTTTTAAAAACTACACATATGTATTATATTACAAGTTTAATATATATAAATTCATAATGTAAACCAAAACTTCAACAATGGTCACTTATACAAAGGGGAACAAGATTAAGGGGAGTAAGCACAAAAAGAAACGTTCACTTTTATTCTTTGTATTTCTGTATTATTTGAACTTGTGCTACAATGAGCATGAGTTTTTGTCTCATTGTTTTTTATGAACATGTAAACATATATAATGTGAAGCAACTTTAAAAATACATAAACTTATTGTGGCAGACAGAAATGTGGTTTGATATATTAAATGTTAGTATTAATTATTTCTGGTTTGTGGATTTATACATGATATAAAATTTTGTTGCTGATCTGTATTTTAATTTATATAAAAGAATATATTATTAGTATGGTAAAAGAATTTACATATAAATAAAAGGAAAGAAGTTACTACTCTGTAATTTATAGAGAAACAGACCATGTATCTACAAAATTGGGTAAAGAAAATAAATGAATAGGAAAATCACAAAAGAAGAAATATAAATGGTTAATAATCTTAAACTCTCTAAATTTTAAAGAATATAATTTGTCATAAAGTAAACCTTCAATAACTCATTAATTGTAATTAATGATTCTAATTATTACAACAATATATGCATAAGAAATCTGATTATGTGACCATAAAAAATGAGTATCACAGAAATCTATGGCCAATCTCAACAAAGTTCAAAATACTGAATGCAAGAACTTTTCACAATGATGCTGTTATATTCCATCAAAAAGGAAGCCTCTTCAAAGGGCACTCACTAAACCCCCAAGAAATCTGGCAGTCACAATTCTAACTTAGGAGGAATGGCTTCTCTGAGGTCAATAGGCCAGCAGGGAGTACCCATTCCTCACAGAGGACTCACCTGAAGTTTGATTTTCTGAAAACTATTAATTACAAAACACAGTGATACTTTTGTTCTACATAGGATAAAAGGGAAGAGGACATGGAATAAGAATAGAAATTGAGTCAGGCACAGTAGCACAGGTTTTTAATCCCAGTGGCTGGGAAGGCTGAGGCAGGAGGATCTCAAGTTCAAAGCCAGCCTCAGCAACTTAGTGAGGCCCTAAGCAACTTAGTGAGAGCCTGTCTCAAAATGAAAAGTAAAAAGAGCTTGAGATGTACCTGAGTAGTTAAGACTCATGGGTTAAATCCCCAGTACAAAAGACAAAAAAAAAAAAAAAAAAGCAACAGAAGTTGAGCAGATAAAAGGTCAGTTTTAACATTCCGAATCCACATTGTCTCCCACATCCTACCCATTTCTATCTTCCCCAGATTCTTATCATTGAAGAGAAATGGACCCCAGGGAGCTCAGTCTACACTCCCACCAATGTAGCCTTGAAAATGTAAGCAACATTGTTTTCATAATATTTCTCTATAAAAGTAATACGTGATCTCAACAGAGAAATAAGAATGAAAATTAAAATCACTGATAATTCCATCACCCTAAAATAATCCCTTTTAATATCTTGGTATATGTTGGTCTCTTTTATCATTTCTGATGTCATACATACTTATTTAAGCATTCTCATGTAACCTGTAACATAAGCGTTTTCCATGTTGCTACTATCTCTTAGTGACAGTAATTTTATTAGTGATATTGTGGCTGTGTGGACGTATAACCCAAGAGTCTTCATGTTGGGAAGTGCTGAGACACAGATGGATTCAGTACAGCCAGCCATTGGGGACCATATTTTCTGTTGGTTTTAATATAGAAAACTTGAGGACTCCCAGAGGTAACTCTGGAATAGTCCTCCTGCAGAATTCCCTCCACCTCTCCAGGGGGGATTTAGGCCAGTAGACACCAGATCCTTGCTTCTTTTGAATCTCTTCCAGAAATACCAGGGGTAAGACAATGGAGACTAAATGCGGTTCTGATAATCTGGCTCTTCCTCTGGAGCTTCCGGGTGCATGAGAAGTGAATAAGTGATTGTGTTCTCAGCCTAGGAAAAGCAGAAACACGCAGTGGAGATCCACACCGAGAAGAGGTCATGGGACAAACAACAACAGAAGAGACAGCAGGGGAGAGGGAAGGGACAGAAGGAAAAGGAGGTGGCAGGGGTTACTCACTCCAGTTTTGGCAGCATCCTCAGAGTCAATGACATTGGCTGTGGGCAAAAAGAAGACAAATTAGCCCACGCACTGCTGGAGAAGAGGGCTTGTTTGTGCAGCTGCCAAGGCTACAAAAGCAAAGCCCAAACCAGACTTGAGTCAAGGACTGCTGACCCCAACTCAGGCCTGTACACCAAGCTTCATTCACCCACCCTGGAGCATCCCAGTCTCAGAGGTCCCCACTGTCCACGCTGGCAAAGGAAAGCAGCAGTCTTTGCACCACATTCTTTTTAGAGAATTGCTGAACTTTCCTAGAAGCAAATCAGGCAGATTTGGGGATCTGAGATATTGGGGAAGAGGAGAGGGGTGTTCAGTCTCAGGGTAAAATGAAGTCCAGATTTTTGAGGGCCACAGGCTTCAAAGAGGGAACACCAAAGCCATTTCTACATTGGCCAAATGCAGTACCTCTTCTTTGGGGACTTTGCTTCAAAAAGAAAAGAAAAAGTGAGGAAGAAAGAGGAGGGGAGAAAAAAAAAGGAAAGAAGTCAGAGAAGAAAGGAAAGAAGACAGAAAAAAGACTCAAAAGACAGAAAAAAAAGGATGGAGGAAGGGAAATGGAGAAAGAAGATAGGAAGGCAAGAATTGAGAAAGGGGGAAAGGAAGGAAGGAAAAGCAAGCAGTAGGCATGCGGCACACTCCTGTGGTCCCAGCAGCTGGGGACTTTGAGGCAGGAGTATTGCAAGTTAAAGGCCAGCCTGGGCAACTTAGTGAGACCTTATCTCAAAACATAAAAAAGACTGGGGATGAGGTTCATTGGTAGAGCACCCCTATGTCCAATCCCCAGTACCACAAAAAGTCATGAAGAAAAGGCAGGAAAGGGGCAGGGACAGAACTTTGTCTGATAAATATCCAAATTCCCACCTAACACTTTCACACTGGAAAAGTGAAATTAGAGCAAAAACATGTGGGAATTTGGATATTTAATAAATAAATTTTAGCTGCAGGGTGGGCTGAACACTGGACCCTCACTCATCTGTTTCCTTATCACTTGTTTGCCTCAAGGCTGAACGCTCAACCCCCACCCTTCTGGTGGAACGAAACCCACATCTGGCCCCTGCCTGGTCTGCCTGAGGGCAGAAGATGACACCCTTAGCAATTACTGTGAGATCCAATCACTGTACGCCAACAAGGCAGCATGCTGACCCAGAGACCCCACTAGATTTTGACTATAAAAACTCTCTCCTGCTGTGCACCCCCCCATACTCTCACTCTCGCTTCCTCTCTCTCTTCTCTCTTTCCCGCTCTCGCTTTCCCTGCTCGCACTCGTTCTCTCTCTCTCTCTCTCTCTCTCTCTCTCCTTCCTTCTCTGTTTATCAGACATCGCCTCAATAAAGATCTCTTGGTCGCTGCGAGTGTTGTGGTCACTTTCCTTTCAAAAAGCAGCCTCAGTAATCTATAAATCATCATTTCCCTGGAAGTTGGGGAGGAGCCTGAGACAATGTCTCTAGTCTCTTCACGCACCCCCTGGACACAAAGAGCCCTTATTTGCTATGTTCCAAATTCTGGAACAAACCACTTTCGGAATTCTCCTTCTATTACATTCCTCAACAATCCCAGCAACTTACTATCCCTTTCTGGAAACCATCAGTTCCAGCGCTTGGCTGCATAGATGCCTCGTGAAATATTTATGCCAGAGTAGACAAAAATCAAACAATAAAGTGGTGAATCCAGCTGTGTTTGGACTTTTTTTCTACATCTGGTTTGGCCCCAGATGTGGACTCAGGCCCACATCCCACGTGGCCTGGCCAAGAGACACGCAGACCCTACTCAAAGTGCAGCTAAATGAGTAACAGATTGCTCAAGCTCTCAAATCTGTTGGCTCTGCTCTGAGTCATACTCCAGCCATCTGAGGTGAAATCTTTAAGGGCCTTTTCTTCCTGCCTGTTTTTGCTGTCATGGAAGCTGCAGTGAAAGTTCCATCCTCCTTTGTGCTCTGATTTTAACCACATTCAGGAAATCTCCTGGAATATTACTCATTTTACATACCTCCACCTGGGCCAGAGGTTGGATGATTACTGGCTCTCAAAATGTCAGACCTATAAGGGCCCAGAGGTCATCCAGACCAACCCACTTCCTTTCTCAGTGAGGTGACTGAACTCCATCAGGAGGAGTGACGTGCTCAATATTGTATTGTATGATGATGACAGAACCAGGCCAATATTTAATAAACTGACCCAAGTGGACATCAGAATCAACCACTGCCCACAAAATAAAACCCCACTAATGGCTCTCGTTCCCTCAGAATTTTCTGAAGCCCAAATCTCCTCTTAACTTTCCACTAAGAGCTGAGGTTTACCATACTTACATATTTCTCAACAAATCTAAGCATTTTCCCCAAATCTTCCCCCTCCTTTCCTCTTAGACCCCCTACTTCCTTAATCCTATTGGTCTTCATCTTACACCTTCTTACCCCTATTCTTTGTCAACTTTGCCAAGTCACAAGAAGACCCAAATATCTCTGACTTCCTGCTCTGCACATTTTCCCAGATTCCTAGTTCCAGAAATTTGAATGCAGCCCTCCCTTCTCTATCTAAGACAGATGTTCCTTTTCTCTTCTCCAGTGAAACCCTCTTTGGGCCCAGGAGTTAGACTCAGAACTGGCCAAGGGATTTGAGCCCCTGCCCTCTTCCCCCTGCCCCCTCCATCTCCTGTGCTTAGGCTGAACTTACATAAGCCACTGGTTGCTGGCTCCGATCCATCTGGCAGCCCTGGGTGGAACATCACTGAGCCCCCAGAGGGAATGCTGTACTCACCTAGTTCCTCAGGGAGGGTGTCTCCCATTTCCCTGTGCTCAGGGTTTCCTGAGAGAGCTAGGAGGGGCACATAGGAGGTTAGTAGGATTATGAGGTGGGGCTTTAGTTCTCAGGACCAAGGACCAGGGGAGGATTCGGTTAGAACCAACATGACCCATCCCTCACATGCCTCCTCTCCTACTTACTCCCAGCTGCCCTGCCCAGGAACCACTCTGGCTTGTAAAGGCTAGTCAGGGAGCCTTTTAGGCCAACAATCCCATGGGGATTCCTAGGACTGTCTTCCTTTGGCTTACTCTGCCTTTTAAAAGCATTTCTCTTTTTCTCGGTATCTCAGTACCTCCATATTTATTTATTGTCAGTAACTGGGGTCCTGCTATGAATGAATTGCAAAGTGTTTTGTGAGATATTAGTAGTATTATTTTCTCTTTCTCAGTGGCCTGCAGCACCCTTTTCTCTTTCCTTGACCACTATCCTAGCCACAAAATTCCCCATTTCTATATCTTGGCCTCTGTGCCAGGAACGTTCTTCTAGGCCTCTTTGCCTAGCCAATTGCTACGCCAAACATCACCTCCTCCACTGTGGTAATTGCTCATATATATGTGCCTTCTACTCTCTATTAGGCATTGTTATGAGAGCTTAATCCTTATTCATTGTCAAAATAATCCCATGAGGTGGGTCCTATTAGTATCCCCATTTTCCAGATAAGGAAACCGAGGAACAGAAAAGTTGAGCAATTTACCCAAGGTCATATTGCTGCTGAGCTAGCTGTGAGCTAAAATTTGAATCCATGTAGTCTGGTCCCAGTCTGTACCTCAATCACTACAATATAGTGTCTCCCCATGAGAACTTCTCTAACTGCTCCAGAATGAGCTGGCTGCTATAGTTTGAATCTTGAGTGTCTCCCAAAGACCCTTGTGTTAAACCTTTGGTCTCTAGAACAATGGTACTGGGAGGTGGTGGAACCTTTCAGAGGTGGGCCTAGTGGGAGGTCTACAGTTCACTGGGGGTGTGCCTTTGATTTGCTATAGACACATATTCCCAGTCTCTTCCTTGCTTCTTGCTTTCTGACCACGAGATGTTCCTACTGTGATGTGCTGCCTTGTCACAGGCCCAAAGCAATAGAGCCAACTGATCATAGACTGAAACCTCTAAAACTGTGAGCCAAAATGAACTTCTAGGTGCCCCCATTTACATCACTATAGATTATTTATTTGTACTTCTGTTTTCCCCACACTGCTGAGTACTCCTGAAATCAGGAACTAGACTTCTTTATCTTGGCATCATCTACAGTGTCTAACACAGTGCTTGACACAAAAACAAGTTCTTTTGAGCCTTGCTGAATGGATAAATTAATAAATGAATGAATGAATAAAATAGAGCTAGATCTGAATGTTAAGGATTTGCTAGTTCAAATATAGGGGTTCCAGCAATATCTAGGGTTAGGGCCTCTTCTAAGCAGGAACTAATAACAAAAGTCAAGGAAAACCACAAACCTGAAGTCCGCTTTTGCTTGAGGTAGATCGTGACTACTACAATAGCCACAATGGCTACTACAACAATCCCGATAACCACAGGCACAATGATCATTTCCAGTAAAGGGTGGGTCGACTTGAGCCCTAGGGAAAACAGATCTGAGAATATGCTCCCTGTTCTTACTACCACCCTCTCACCCTCCTCCAGCAGGATGGTCCAGTGCCTGTCACCTGAAGCTCTTCTTTGACTAAGTCATCCACAGGTGTAATACTTCACCCCACAACCTCATCTGCCCAGAGTTTTTATGGCTGAACTTGGGTCTTCCCCTTATTCAAGTTTCTCCACCAAACTAATAAAGGTATACTAGTGAGTGTCTAAGAGGAGAGGGACAGTGCTCAGGGGCAGTGGGGATGGTGGGCATGAAGCCTCCTACTGTCCAGAACATGCCAGGCCTTCAAGAGGAAATGGTCAAAACATGGGACATGGGAAAAATCGAGGTGAACTTCAGCTCTTAGCAATTTCCAGGAGTTTAAGGAACCTCTGTACCAATGAGAGAGCTCTATTTCACTACTATTCTCAGTAGGGTACCTATGTTTCAAAGTGGGACGACAGCCTTGTCACTTATCACCCAGGAACTGGGGGCTCTTAGCTCTGGCTCCTACTCCTTCCCACCGGTTTCAACAAGGCCTCTACAACTCTCTCCTTTGTCTCAGCACCCAACTTTGCTACCATAGCATTTCTCAGATCTCCAAGTGGTCTATATGACTTTAACCTAACCCCTTGCAACCCTTCCCTACATTTTAACAGAGTTCCCATACTTTGGACAGTGATGGTCACAGATTTTGATGAGTAGGGCGTCCTCCCTATACTTCCTTTGCAGTAGTAATCACCACTGTGACTGTGGTTTGCTGACAGGATGGAGAAGTTGACATTGAAATGGGAAAACTGCTTGGAATTTCCATTTTGGTAGAACGTGATCTTGTTCAGAGGGTTGTTCTTCCAGCTGTGGCACCTCAAAACAATGGTGTCCCCCTCCTGGAACACCAGTTGAGAGGTCTGGAGCAGCAGCCAGTCTGAAAAAACACAAAAGGACAACAGGACCCAGGATGTCATGGCTCAACTCTGAGACTCAGACCATCACTACTGGTGGGATATGATGTGCAGAGGGAAGGGCTTAAGTTTGGAACCAGGCAGTTTAATCTCTAATTTTGGATTCATTCATTTATGAGCTCTGGATTCTTGGGAAATTTTTAACTCTTCTGGGCCTCAGTTTCCTCATCTGTGCAAACAGGCATTATAACACTATGCATCTAACAGTTTCTCGTACACAGCCAGTATTCTGAAAACACTCATCTTCTCTGTTCTTTCCTGGGAGAAGGCAGCTGCAATGTTCTCCTGTCAAGGACACAAGAGACTTGGATTTATAGTCCCTTCCCTAGAGGAGGAAGGGAGGAACTCAGTCTGACTGAGAAAAGGACATTTGAGGACAATGCAGCAGATCCATGTTTCAGAAATAGCAGAAATCCTTAAACCTCCAACGAATGTCACTTTACTTGATAAATATTAATAAATGTAGAGCCTCAGTTCAATAGGATCTCTGAAGGCAATATCACAGGTGAATTATGACCTTGCTGTACATTTTTTGAGGATATTTGGGAATAAGGTAATGGGAAGTGCCTAATGAAGAGTAGCAGTAACAATAGTCATTGTTTGTTTGCTTTTGTGGTACTGGAGATTAAACCCAAGAGTGCTCTACCACTGAGCTACACCCAGCCCTTTTTATATTTTATTTTGAGACAGAGTCTTACTAAGTTTCCCAGGCTGGCCTCAAACTTGTGAACCTATTGCCTCAGCCTCCAGAGTTGCTGGGATTACAGGCAAGTGCCACCATGCCTGGCTAGCAATAGATGTTGTGATCACATAGTGGCTCTTTATAGAGAGCCTACGATTTTGTCATTGATCTGTTCAGCAAACATTTATTAAGTCCTGCCCTATCTCAGGTACTGGAAATACACAGATGGAAGGAGACGCAGGGCACCCAGCACTATGAGAGGTACAGAGATCAGGGAAATGATAATTCTCTCCAGAATATGACAGGTGAGGCATTAGTATACACATTGTTCAGATGAGGAAACTAAAACTTAAGCATTAGATGAATTCATCAGATTTATATGGCTAGTAGTTTCCAGGGTCAGGATTCAATCATAGTCTGTGTTATTGTTGTTGTTGTTTGCTTGCTTGCTTGCTTTCTAATTTATTTTTGCTCTACCATAAAAAATGGAAGGGTTTTTGTGATGAAGGGACTTCCTTCTGCTTCTCTCACGCTCAGCTGTGTGTCTGTGGCTTTTGGCACCCTCTTGCTCAATCAGGACTATTGCAAAAATTAATCATTCATATACGCTGAGAAATTTCTTAGGAATTTGGACCTCCACCCGACATACGAAGTAAAAAGGTGGGTGAAAAGGGAAATGACTGGGCAAACAAGCACCTCACGTCGATGTTTCCCAGTAAACAGACCACCTCCCTTTTCCACAAACCTCTGCAGTGTAAGCAGATTCAATCTCTCCAAGGCCCCTCCCTGAACTTCCTCTACTGACCAGAAAATACATCCAGATGCACGGGGTCACTGAGGCTTGTCTGGTCCATTTGACACCGGTACTCCCCACTGTTATTGTTCTTGGCCTTAAACTTGTAGCTGGGCTGAGTCTGGCCTGAGATGAGGCTCCCATTGTGGAACCACTGAGTAGAGTGGTTCTCAGGATTGCGGGTCCCTTGACATTTCAGTGTCACAGTGTCTTCCTGCAGCACCTGGATCCATGGGGGCTCAAGTTTCACCACAGCCTTCGGGAGATCTATGGAGGGGCAGAGAGAGGAGACAGTTTGAGCAAAGGGAACCCCAAAGGCCTAAGCAGACTCTGAATCCCAAAGAAGTATCTTTATTCCTATTGGGGGCACCAAGAGTAGAATCAGGCCTAGGAGGCTTTGGCAACTGAAGGCAATTCTTATTACTCATACAACCCACCACCAGGGGCCCAGGGAACTCTCAGGGCACTCAACTGATTCTCAGAAGGAGAGGGCAAGAGGAAAAAGGGAAGCCAGTTGTGGTGGAACATGTCTGCAATCCCACCTACTTAGGAAGCTAAAGCAGGAGGATCACAAACTTGAGGCCAACCTGGGCAACTTAGCAAGACCTTGTCTCAAAATAAAGTAAAATATTAAAAGGGCTGGGGATGTAGCTTAGAGGTAGAGCACCCCTGAGTATAATCCCTATACCAAAAAACAAAAAGAGGGGGGGCATGGAAAAGGAGAGAAGCAGGCAAGGTAAATACCCTAAAAATAAATAACATGCCAAGAATTGTTCTATCTATCTACCTAACTATCTATCTTTATCTCTCTGGATATTCACTTTGCTCCCCTATAAACTGAGGCACATTTGGACACTAGTGATAAATTTTTTCCAAAGCTTCGTCTAGACAAGAGGGGACATCTGGCAAGTGGAGATGTCAGACATAAGCGTTAGAGATCAGGTTTCTGTTGCAGTCTGATGTCATTCCTTATCCTTAAATAGGAGGTCAGAATGGCCAGGTCCCATACTCAAGCATACAGGAGTTTCTGTGATCTCAGAAGAATAAAGAGAGGAAGAAAAGCTAGAGGGTCAGTCCTGAGGGTGGGAGGAGGTTGAATGTACAGATGAAGAATTACCTGGCAGAGGTCACTCCGACAAAGCTCTCTCTGTCAAGAGAACAGGCCTTGAAGCCCTCAGATCTACTCAAAGTAAAGAATTTAACAACATGGGGCAATCTATGCATATCATATTATTCTGTATGTCCTTGAATTTTATTTGGAGAGAGGAAACTTGTTTTCTAATGAGGTTTTTAAAAGAAAAATCATATTTTGATATAATGCATAATAACTACACATATTTATGGAGTACATGTGATACTTTAATACATATATACAATGGGTAATGATCAGATCAGAGTAATTGACATATCCATCACTTCAAACATTCATCATTTCTTTGTGTTGGAAACATTCAAAATCCTTTCAACTAGCTATTTTGAAATACACAGCTAACCATCGCTAACCATAGTTTCCTTTCTGTGTTATGAAACCCTAGAAATTATTTCTCCTATCTAACCATACTTTCTAACTGTATCTCAGTACCCATTAAATATCCTCTCTCCGTTCTACCCCCTCCCTTATCCTTCCCAGGTTCTGGGAAGTAACTACAATTCTACTCTACTTCTTCAAGATCAACTTTTAAGAAATTCTTGATTTTTTTGTTTTCTTTTGTTTTTTAGTTGAGAGAGGATAAAATTTATATCTTCTGTGACAATGTTTGTAACATCTCACAGTAATAGAACCAGAAGGGTTGAAGCACCCACCCCCTTCCTCCTTGGAGAGAAGAAGCAGGGACAGGGCATCTCTGGGAGCCATGACCCTTTCTGGATCTGACCTGGTATGGAAGTTGGTTGTTGGTCTATTCAGAGTGCCTCCAGATAGAACATTGGGGCAGGGAGAAAATGTAGGTAGAGTACTTACCAGGTATCCCAGCAACAGGAGCTGTAAGAAAGAAAGCAAAGATCAACCAGGACCTGAATCCCCACAATGAACAGCCTGCCCGGAGTTCTTTCACCCTTAGTCCAATCCTTAGCCCACATATCCCTAGATGCATTTTCAAAAGTACTGAGAGCTCCCTCCCCAATAACAGAAAGAAAAGAAGGAAGGAAGGAAGGAAGGAAGGAAGGAAGGAAGGAAGGAAGGAAGGAAGGAGGGAAAAATCACTGTCTTATTTATTTATTTATTTTTACATCATTGTTTGGCTTAACACTTAACACTGTCTTATTTATTTATTTATTTTTACATCATTGTTTGGCTTAACACTTGGCTGATTAAAATAAAAATACAACAGTAATCCCAGGTAGGAAGATCACAAGTTGGAAGCCACCCTCATCAACTTAGCAAGATCCTTTCTTAAAATAAAGAAGAAAAAGGAGTGGGAGTGTAGCTCAGTGGTGCAGCCTTCACTGTGTTCAATCCTCAATAGTGCAAAATATAAATAAATAAATTTTTAAAATAAAACAAAGTAAAAATGCCTCTGGAAAGTTCCCTGTTGGACTTTGCATCTGATTTATGCTCCTGTGTAAATGATTTTGCCAGTCTATCTGTTCTTTTGCCAAGGAGTGTATAGAGATTACATATTGTCCATGATCATTGTAGAAAAATGGAAAATAGGCATGATAAAAATATTATTACCTTGGCAGTATACCCTGTGGAATTTTCCCCATGAAAACATACACATATGTTTACATACAGACATACATAAATAGCAAATGAGAAAATAAACTATTTAAAAAGTATTCTCTTACCTAATTTTTCACTGAGCAATATAAAATCCACTAAATTTATAAAATCTGTCTTCATATTGATTTCTTCTTCTTCTTCTTCTTCTTCTTTTTTTTTTTTTGGTAGTACTAGAGATTGAACATGGTAGATGGTAGGCAAGTGCTTTACCACTGGTGCTATTGAACTGCACTCCCAGTCCTTTTTATTTTATTTTGAGGCAGAGTCTCATTAAGTTGCCCAGGCTGGCCTAAAACTTGTGATCCTCCTGTCTCAACCTCCCCTGAAGCTGAAATTATAGACATGCACCACCATGCTAAGTCTATGTTGTCATTTTTAACAATTGCATTCTGTCCTACTATTTTTATTTTGCATTTCTGCTGCTTGATAATTAAACCTTCCAGATTCTTGCCAATAGGCAAATCTGAAAGGAGGAAGAGTGTGCAAAAGGACACCAGATCTGTGTTTTCATGTGCAGGCATGTGGAATGACACTGGGTTAGGGAAAGAACTTCCCAATTGGAGGCAAATTAGGGGCCAGGAAGGGCCAGGAAAACTGAATGGAAGTGGATTTGTGGGCACCATCATTGAGTGAAGCAGCAAAGCAGGGTCCTTAGATGAATTAGAGCCCAATGCCTATGCCTGTGTAGGGCATGTTTATGTGTCCATCTGTTTCAGGGGGGTTTCCTCTTGTATTTGGACTGAGAGAAAGTCAAGAGGCTTTCAAAATATGTGTGTACTTTCAGGGACAAACACATGGAATGTAAGTGAAGCAGAAGCAAGGAACCAGAAACAGGCACTGTGGAGAGTTGGCCTGGGAGTTTGGAGAACCAGATGCTCGTCCTGATGTTACTACATCTCTAATATGTACATTTAGACCCACTGTGCTGTTCCTTTGTAATCCAAAGCTAATCAACAAAATTGCATTTAATTCCTCCTGTCCCACAATTCATCCTGAGTTCACCTAAAGTTCACCTGAAAGATCTTAAGTCCCTGTCCCCCACTGAAACCAACAGTCTAATGGTGGAGATAAGCATATGTATAATTTAATGTAAAAGATATTGCTTCATGACATTGGAGGAGTGTGGATAAAATACTATGGAGGTTCAGAGGAGAAAAAGATCCTAAGACTTGGCAGAATTTGGAGTTGGTAAGAAGGAGAATCCCACAGAGGAGCTCAAAATCATGTACATTCAAGGATTGATAGGATTTTGACATGTAGAGAGAGGAGATATTATTCTATGGGAAGGACTGGAAGGTAATTGGCAAAATTTCTAGAACATTCCAAGCCAATTTCTACTTCATTTCTTATCTCAGCCAAAGCACTTCTGACAATGAGGAACAAAGCTAAAAATCTAGGTAGGAACATACTTTGGAGGGCTCCTAATGCCAAAAGATGTGGCAATGGGTCAAAGCACAGAAAGAGTTTAAACGTTGACTTTGCCACTGCCAAGTGACCTTAAACAAAATGATTTTCAGTTTCCTTGCTTGTAAAGGAGATAATGACAGTGTCACCTACTTCGTAGGGTTATTATAAGGATTAAATAAGAGGATAATCCAGATAAGACTTGACATACAGTAAGTTTAAAATAAATATAAATTAACTTTTATGTTTGCTCTTTAGTTCAGCGAACAGTGGAAAGTCACTCAGAATGTTCAAATTGGAGCCCAAAGTGCTGTGTCAGATGAATTGGAACACGGGAAGTAGAAAGAGATTAGTTAAGAAAAAGACAATTATTGTGATCCCAAATACACATACATGGGTGACCTGTCCAATATCCGACTTCATTATTCCATGACCTACTCATCCCTAGTGAATGATTATACAACTTAGCACACCTGCCCACATTATACCCAGAAACCATCATCACCAGAAGCCATACTGATTTCAAAAATCACAAAATCATATATCTCATGCTTCAGTCACGACCTCCTCTCCTTCCACTTCATCTGCTCAAGTACAGCTCCCACAATCATCTTGACCTCATCAAAGATCCCAAAGCATTTACTCTACCACTCTATTCCTAAGCCCACACTTGCCTGTATCTCCCCCCATCTAACTTAGATTTGATGATTCATCATTATAATAATCTCATTGCAAATCCCCTCAAATCCCTTGCCCTTTTCTGTCTCAATAAAATGCACATGTATTTTCCATATATTTATTTGTTCAGTTGGTTTGACAGTAGGAAGTAAAGAAGAGGGTACAGATCTCAGAGAAAGAACAGAGAAGTTGGCACCTAATAAGATGATATAAGTGGATGACATAAGTGGATGACCAGGGAAAAGGTGGTTGTGCTCATGCACATATAAATATTAGAAGGATACAAATATTTATAAGAGGAAGATGGCAAGTTGGACTTTTAATATATTTTGTTTCTGAGCTCTCAAACATTCAGAGATGTCCAATTAACAGAATATGAAATTATATAAATTATATAATTATATAAATCGTATATGTTTATATATAAAAGTAAACAAGAGAAATAGGAAAGGAAAGAGAAAGATCTTATACTTTAGGTCAGCAAAACTGTCTTATCATGTTCACTGATAAGTCCCCAAGTCCTAGAATAGTGCATGCCACATAGAATTAACATGAGGTTTAAACAAGGCAGTCAGAATTAGCAGAAGCAAAGGTGTTATAAATGAAGTACATTCACACATTGCCTGGCTGTAGAGGAGAATCTATTGGAGGCACAATGAGGAACATGGTTAAGAAGGGTAGAATCGGAGCTTTTCCAGTAGGCAATGGACCAACACTGAAGGCATGTATGAGTGCAGTGAGTCAGCCATAGCTGTACTTGAAGATGCTGTGACTTCATCACAAAACATGAAAGGACGAGAGGGGAGTCAGGAGCAATCAAGACACAACAAAAGTTGATATAAAATTGTCATCAAGTGGTGCTGGAGATGTAGCTCAGTTGGCAGAGTGCTTGCCTCACATGCACAAGGCCCTAGGTTCAATCCCCAGCACCACAAAAAAAAAAAAAAAATGTCATCAAGTAATGATGAGATGATGACCTAAACATGGATTACCAGAAAAGAATGGAAAAGATAAGAGTAGATACTCAGTGATTTAGCAAAAGGCAAATGGAAGAAAACACCAAAAATCTTTCCCAAGAGTCCTGCCTAGGTTACTGGCACTATTAGCACAAAACAGAAGCACATCACCTCTCTAGGTCAGCCTTCCCACATAATAAATGAGGGGATTCAGAGCTCACCTTGCATCTATTCTACTGTAATCCACTCAAGGGGAAATTCTTTCTCTTTACCTCTGCCTCCTGCAGTCTTATATCCTCCAGCATTGAGAGCTGAGCTCTCCTAGAGCTGACTGGATTTCATTATCAGTCATAGCAGTAACTTGGGGGAGCTGCCCTTATGTGTTTAGGGTTGAAGCCCTAGGAATTGAGCTAGAGGAAACAGTTCTGCCATTAGGGGTCCCTAGGGCTTCCCCTAGGCTCTTACAACCACTTAGCACCATCACTTCCTGTCCCCTGGTCCACACCTTGAGAACATGATCAGAAAATGATCTTCTCACCTGGCTTAGCACACTGGCTTTCTCACTGATCAGAGGTAGGACCCACACCATGGTCTATGCAGCACCATGGTCTATGCAGTGAAAGGAGGCATGCATGGTTTCTGATTCCACAATTGCTGATTCCAGAATTGCCCAGTTTTGTGGATTCTCTGAGCCCTGGTTCCCCGGATAACCCAGATCCACCTATGCTTCTGCCCAGGGGGTCTCCTTTTGTGTTAAGAAAATGGGCTTTTGCCACATTTAGAGGTGAGGAGAGTGGCCATTGTCACCCCACAAAATGTATCTTAGAGCTTCCTTCACACCCATCTAAGGTAGCATTAGCTTAAGATTTAGTCCAATGTAAAACACAAATTTAAAGGGAAATACTATGGCCATCCATTTGCCACTCAGGTAGGTATAGGTCACTGTATTTCCTTGGGCAGATTCTGATGTTGAGGATGGCAGAGCACTGGGAGCCCAGGGACCCAGTGAAATTTGACTAAAAGATAGTTAAGGGAAAAAAAAAAAAAGACCAACCAGAAAAAAAAAAAAAAAAAAAGAGCCTTGCCAACTTTGATTTTCTAAGGGTTGTTAGAGTTTGATCTACTTGCCTCCATGCACCTGATTTTCCCAACACGCTTCCCATGTCACTATCATCCCCTATCCAAGCTCAGTCCCAACCCAGGTATGCCTGTTCTTGTCTCCCTTCTGTGAGCCCCGACTCACCCAGAAATAGCACAGCTGTCCACAGCAGCATAGGGCCCAGAGTCTGTGAGGGCTTGGAGTCAGCCCAGTCACTCCCAGTGGCAAGAAGAGGTAGGAACAAGGGGACTCCCATCACCCCCTAGAATAAGTTGGTTCCAACAGCACAGGCTTCTCTCCAGGTTTGGCAAATTCCAGCAGAGGACAAACCAATTCTGAAGTTCAAAAGAGGAAGTGAAAAGAAACGGTCTATTTAATCCTAGGCTCCTCCCCTTCCACCCTCTTTCTTTTCAACTGTTCCCTCCCAGAAGATTCAGGCTTTCCCAGAATGAGTCTGGATCAGTTCAAGTCACCGAAATTTTAGAAAATGGGAAGCAACTTCCTTTTTCTGGGGCAATAGCTGGCCTTTGAAAGAAAGAGGGAAATGGCCTCCCTAACTCAGCTTAGAACTTCTTAACCTCAGTCCCCATCCTCCTCAGAAAAGATAATTGAAAAGAATATACAGGCAAATTCTGGTGCCTCTTCCATTTGGAGATCCAGATACTAAAATCTGGACTCTTCCCCAAACTGACCATAGGGTCTTGAGATCACCAACCATCATTTGATATTTCTCTGTTAGAGTTCCTGAGTCACTTTTGGATTGTGGAAAGAGAGTAGGGGTAGGATGACCACACTCATCCTCATTATTTCCCTCCTATATTTGTTCATTTATTAATTTAATGAACATCCCAATGCATATCTACTGAGTACCAATTTGGGCCCTGGTTCCTTATCCTGGTCATTTCTCTCATCACTGTTCTCACCACTGTAACATGCTGATGGTAAGTCCAAGTTAGAATGCCAGATAGCTTCTCAGAGCTTCAGGTCCTGGATCTGTTAAAAAAAAAAAAAAAGAAGATCATCGTACTTATCAATTCAAGCAGAGTTTTTTAACCTCAGTGTTAATGACACTTTGCACCAAATAATTCTTGTTGTGATGACCTGCCCTGTATATGTAGGATGTTCAGCAGCATCTCTGGTCTCTACTCATTAGATGCCACTGGTTTCCCCCACTTGTTAGGAAAGAAAAATGACTCAAGATGTTGGCAAATGTTTCCTGGGGGTTTGTGTGTGGGAGGAATTACCCCTGGTTGAGAATCAGTGAACTCAAGATTTTTAGAAAATAAAAGAATATGAGTCGGCTGGGATGCAGCTCAATGGTAGAGTACTTTCCTAGCATGTGTAAGGCTCTGGGTTTGATCTCCAGTACCAGTACAGAGAGAGAGAGAGAAGAGAGAGAGGGGGAGGAAGGAAGAATATGAATGTGCTTGTTATATCATGGGTGTCTAATGAATATAATTTTTTTTTCTTGTTTTCTGTCATCATCCTCATTTGTTTACCCTTAACTTCCTCAGAACATGAGATAATTGTGGGATCTGTTTTGGGGTCCTCTCCTACGGCCTCTCTCCCAAATGCTCTTTCAGGAAGCCAGCTGTAATACTCAAGGAAGTGACATTGTAAAACCTTCTCACGCTCTGTGGTCTTCAGAAACTTTCAGCAGCCCCACCCTCTCTGCTTTTACGACTGGCACCATCTTATTCACTAACCCCCTTCAGCTCTTGTTGGGGTAAACACCAGTCAGTGCCTAGGAAGCCCTGTTGTTCCTGATGGTAAGATAAGAAGGACTTCCAAGAATGTGGTAATATGCAAAAGGAGAATGGAAACTGGTCACTTCCCTTGTCTCCAGTCTTTAGGTGGGGATCAAAGCAGAGTGTCCTTTGTTCTAAAGGAATGTACTCATAAAATATCTGAAGAAATCTGCCTGTGTGGTAGACACACAATCTATTCTGTATACATTCCCTCTTCTTGTAGGTGAGGTGTGGCCTTCCATATTGTCACGTCTGCTACCACTGAGGAGTTCACAAGTAAAAAAAATGTCCAAACTTCTCCACTGAGTCCTCTAAGTTCTTTCTTTGGGATAACTAAATCTGCTGGAGCTTTTTCAGCTCTGGTACTAAACAATCCTTAACCAATTTTTAGGTAAAAATAATATTTTTACCAGTGAAGAGAGGTCAGTGGGCTGATATCAATACTTGACAAATATCATTAAAGGGATGGAGACATAGCTCATTGGTAGAACACTTGCCTAGCAAGTGTGAGACCCTGGGTTCCCTATTACCACACAAACACACACTCACACACACATACACACACACACACACACACACACACAAGTTAGAAATGGAAGTTACATATAGCTAACAACTTGATATAGTTAACACACCCTAAGAAACAAATACAATACCTATATGAAGCATATGCACACTTATTTTTGAGGAGACATTAAGCTTATATTATCTCTAATTTTTACAATCATCCCAGAAGATAAATATTATTATTGTCATTTACACCTAAAGAAACTTAGCTTCAGAGAAGTTCAAATGATTTGTCCATAGCTAGATGATTAGTAAGTGGTAGAATCAGAATATAAAACCAGGTCTGTCCAATGTTAAAGACTTCATGTTTTCTTTTTTTTTTTTAATTTTAATTTGTTATATATGACAACAGAATGCATTATAATTCATATTACACATACAGAACACATTTTTCAAATCTCTGGTTGTTCACAAAGCAGAGTCACATCCTTTGAAGACTTCATGTTTTCTATAATGAAACTACTACCTACATGTCTTATATGAGTCACAAGTGCACTGAACCATTGAGTGGCCCCCAGGCTTGGGAATAGCTGGGTGGGCCAGGTGCCCTGTGTGAGCAACCTCATTTGTTTACATCATTACACGTGTGATTTTCTCTGAGTGCCACAATGTGAAAATGGTCAGAAAACTCTGCATGCTGTACATGTTAATTTCCCGAATTGTCTCAGGCCCTAGATGTCACTACTCACCATTTCACTGAGATTAAAAAACTAGACCTCTTTTAGACAGCTTATTAAAGGAGGTCATCACAGAGCTGGGAGAGGCATTTTCAGACATGCTGAAACTGAAATAGGAGTCTTTTTTCATCACAACTGGGAAAACACAAAATATATATATATATATGGAGATATTTCTAAAAGAAAATGCTTACAAATATAAGGCATGCTATTTAAAACTGAAATATGCCAATCAGAAAAGAGAGTTCTTCAAAAAGGAGAGCTTGATATAAAATGTGTGTTTCTGGCAATGGAATAAGTGTGAGAGACTCAAAAGTCATGAAAGATGAGATAGATCCAGATCAAAATCCTCATTCCTTCTCAGCTGTGTGTCCCAGTTATATTATTCATCCTTTCTAAGCAATGTTGCCTCATCTATAAAATGGACATTACCTCAGTCCTTACTTTATAATGTGGTGAAGATTAAATAAGAAAATGAGAGAATAATTTCACTCAGAACCTGGCATATAAACTTCGTCTTTATCGTTATTATCATTAAAGACTAGAAAAGTGTAGTTCACTGCCTCCACTAGGGACTGGTGTTAATAGACCCACTTTGGGAAAAGCAGATAAATGCTATAAACTCAAATGTTTCCAACTTAGACACTCAAATACCAGCCACTTGATCTTCAAGGCACTCTCTTCTCTACGTTCTGGTTAGGTTTTGTTTCTCTTCCTCTTACTGTCCTGGACAACCTTTCAGTGGATCCCTGTGATTGCTTTATCAGTGTTTTCTAGAGCTTCCTGGTACAGCCACTTCCCCGTGAACTGAAGGACCCCAGGCTCCAGGCTGCTGACTCTGGAGGAAGAAGCCTTGCGGGGGAGGCAGAAAAGAGGAATGATTGAGCTAAGGAGGCTGTGGTTTGAGGGATGTCAGCTAGATCCAAGCAGCAGCATCACTAGTCTAGACTGGAAACATCTTTGGGGAACTCAGGTCTTTGTGTTAAAGGATTGCATTTTAGAAATGCAAATACTCGAGGCTATGTGGATCATTAACTTTAGAATGTAAATTTGTTCACAATTACTTCAGAGAAATAGCTTGGTGAGGAGGTTTGATGAGAGTCAGATAGATAAACTAAAATGGGCCCATGCAAAGAGACCTCCCAAACCATGACACGTTATGTGGCACTTGCTTTTTTTGGACGGAAAGTTTAATGTATGCTTATGAAAGAATAGACATGTTATTCATGAAAATGTCACCCACCTGAGGAACTTACACAATGTGCCCACAAGTGATTAATGGCTAGGCTGTTTGACCAAAGAGGAATACTCTGACCTCTAAATATAGGGTGGTGGCCATGAGACTTGATGCCTCTCACCTCCCAAAATCATATATATAGTCGGAGAGCTTAAACCTGAGCATGTCACTTGTCTTCTCATATCTGAGAAATGAGGGGTGCCCATACACTCCCTCTGAGTGGGCTGTTCTTAAATAAGTCTTTACCTGTGCCTTGCTTCCTGACTCATTATGTTATTCTTTCTGTGATGGATGTCAAGAACCTGAAGGTCCCCCTCCAGTGACAAGAGGGATAGAGGCAATAATGTAGGCAAGAGAGCCCTTCCTAAGGAAGCCAAGACCCTTGACATAGTGAGGGGTTTAGACAACAAAGGGACATTTATCTCTAAGGACCTCAGTTAGAAAGGGAGATATGACACTTAATATGACCCAGCTGTATGCCACTGTATGACCTTGAGCACTGTATGACCTTGAGCATAGCACTGTTTCTCTGGAACTCAGTAAGTGAGGGAAGTAAGCTGGATGCTTTTTACCAGATGTGTCTTTTGCAAATATTTTCTCCCCAACTGTGGTTTCCCCCTCTCTCTCTCTCTCTCTCTCTCTCTCTCTCTCTCTCTCTCT